CGGTTTTACTTTTTCTGGTATGATAATCGTCGGCAGATTTTTAACGGTGCCTGTACACACTAAACTGTTTCTGAGCCGAGAGTATATTTAGCTGATAAATGTCACTTCCCTTATGTAGCTATAATTTATTTTAAATACTAAAGTTTGTAATTACTCGTTAAATTAGCAAGAATAAATAAAAAGCAGAATCGCGAATTTAAAGAGCTTATTTAAGTGATCGATCAAGCTTTATACTCAAATGAATTAACGCTAATAAGACAAAATCATATACGTATATTGTCCAGAATCAATTATGAGAACTGACTAGTCGTTTTTTTAAAACAATATTTAGCTTAAATATATTATCCAGTTCTGAATTTCTGAATTTTTATTTCACTAACTCCCGACCAAAATGCTCGTGTTTTTAAGTTCGTTGATAATAATTTTTCGACATTGTACAAGTGCTTTAGTCTTAATCTTTCTATTTAACAACAGGAACTAAACAAAATGATATGAACATCACTATGTAATGATAGTTATTTATAAAGAACTTTATACTCACAATAAATTAATGCGAACAAGTATATACTTACTCAATTAGCTAGATTACTAGATTAATGCAAATCAAATAAATAAATGCTCACAAACATGAATTATTTATTTTAATTAATTAAAAAGTTCTTTTACACTCACCATTCAAATTAACATGAATAATACAATTTTAGCGATGTAACTAATTATCATGTTTGGTTCGAGTTATTATATTATATTGTTTAAACGAGTTGTTTTGCTTAAAATATGACGCATTTTATTTTGTGTATTCAATACAGTAAATATTCTCGAAATCAAAGCGAAAGTAAAACGAAAGTCAAAGTGAAAGTCAAATGAAAGTCATAACGAAAGTCAAAATAGAAAGTCAAAACGAAAGTCAAAGTGAAAGTCAAAGTTGAAATCAAAATCAAAGTCAAAATGAAAATCAAAGTCAAAGTCAAGACGAAAGTCAAAGCGAAAATCAAAATGAATATTATTTTTAACACAACTTTACCGGTAATCGGTTTTCGAAATCGATGTAAGCCAACAAAAAATCCGACTACGATTTTTTGGGGCGACGCGATATAAGCTCTTGACAACCACCTATCTAAAATTGATTAGATTTTTTATTTTGATTTTATATGAATAAATGATTAAAATAAAAAAATTTTCATCAATTTTAGATAGGTAGTCGTTGAGATATCTTTGGATAACTATCAAAAGCTGCGGCAAAATTTTATTCAAACTTTGAGCAAAGATATCTTGGCAACTACTCATCTAAAATCAATGAATTTTTTTAATTCCAATTCTATATGCCGATATAATTAATATAAAAAAATTTTCATCGATTTTAGATAGGTAGTCAAGATATTTTCGCTCAAAGTTTAGAAAAACTTGAATAACTATCAAAATAAGCAAAATTTTTTCTGAACTTTGAGCAAAGATATCTCGAAAACCATCTATCTAAAATTGGAGAAAATTTTTTTCTGTATAATTAAAATAAAAAAAATTTATTGATTTTAGATAGTTACCAAAATATCTTCAAAGAAAATAATTACAATTGAATAATTTCATCCAATCAGATGCGACTATTTAAGTAGAATCTTATATGATTATAAGGAATACATTTCAAAAATTATATGATCATTCTGATATAGCTTAACGGTTAGAACGCGGGTCCGTACATTGCACTGGGTACAGGTTCGAATCCGGCTGGTGCCAGGCTCTCCATACTCGTAGTGAAGATTGCCCAGTTTGCAATGTCAGGTGATCATTGGCCGATTAATTTAGTTATTTTGCCCAAAATTGTGATTATTGCGAATTTGTCCTACACTAAAAAATCAATCTCATGATCATAGATTATCAGATGAAGTTTTGTCGAAATGAGTAGAGCTAAATGAGTAGAAGGTAACTCAATAAAATCGTTATTCGAATCTTAAAACTAGATACTAGCCCTCAGACCGGGGGCCGCAATCTTAACTTTTTTTAGTTTTTAAGTTTTTTTAAGTTTTAGTTTTTAACGATACCCTAGTAGTGCAGTTTCTTGATTGTTTTATAGTTTTTAAATATTTTTAAATTTAGTTTTTTCTCAGCGGAAGCGCAGTCTCATTTCTAGCTAAATCTACTAGTTGATCTACAATCACGTGGAACGTAACCTCGATAAAGTTACCCAACACTATCGATCCCGTCGTAATGCTGCCCGAACTCAACACGTGACCCAGTCGAAGCACAATTCCAACCTTCCTTCTCGGTTCTTGCTTGATTAATATTCCCTTACTATGTATAGGGGTTGTTTAGAAACATAAGAAGTATATTAATAATTGTCGCGGCTGATGCTGAAATTGGCTGATGCTGAAATTTGGACCTATTTTGATACGAAATTTTAAACAAATTTTGGGGTGCTTTTTTACCGCTTTTTTTTTATATTTAGGTTAGGATTTAGGGTTAGAATTTATACTTAAAGAGTATATGTGGATTCTAGCAGGGCCTATATTTTAAAATTGGAACCCCAAATTTCAGCATCAGAGCATCAGCCGCGACAATAATTATAATTTTATTTATAATATATTTTGTTAGTCTATAAATTTTTAGCTTTACTCTGATGTCTTTTTGTACTTTAATTATAACAAATAGTATATATATAGATAAATATATAGCAAAATCATGCTTAGAGTATATAGGCTTGATGATAAGAAACAAGACCAAATTAACAAAATTTTATTTTACAAATTTTACAATAAATTATAAAAAAATATAAACTTTTAAAAAGTTATATTGCAATTTTATTAAGAAACAGTATTTTTCCTTAAGTAAAAATGTTTCTGAACTAAGTTTTGATTAAGCTCAGATTTTTGAAAAAATTGTCAATTTGGTTTCTTTTTTCAGCGCCTAGTCCAGGTATAATATATATATATATACCCTAAGCGTGTACACACCCATATACCGGTATTATTTATAATAGAGAATTATACGTTATTTTTATCTAAATCTTGGATCATTTTGGCAATATCAACTTTACCAAGATCGAACACTTTTTTCTTTATTAATAATACATATCTACGATAATTAATATGTGAGAATAATCATTTATTTCTCTATGATTAATGACAATACTATATGGAAGAATGTATAAATTTAAGAAAACAATCATACTTCACTCCAAAAAATACATAAAATATAAATTATAATCATAAAAAAAAAAAACATGCATCCAGATTCAAGCAAATTACTCTTAAAAATAGTCCTACGTTCTATTGCAGGCAATTTTGACCATCTTAATTTTTTTTGTAGTTTATCATTAATAGGTTGTGATGAGAACGAAGGGATTAGAAATCTGATCCGGGAATTTTAAAAGTTTCAGCAAAAATAAGGTATCTTGTAACCAATTTGGCTACAGGTGGTGGTAAATTCATGGAGATAAGGTTGTAATGTATTTTAGAAAGTCCCTCACTCCGAATCAATTTGTTGAGATTATATGCAATAGCGGTTGGATACTTAAAAATTATCATTGTTAATCATGGGTCAAATAATTTATAATAAAATAATGCGAATTTCTTTAAACTTACAATTATTTCGTGATACCATCGTTCATAGTATACAGTCAATTTTACTACAGCACTTAAAGCATGAGGCACATCTCCTTCCTCTGCATAAAATTCTAGCAGTCTTAGCCAGGCTTTAGCTGAAAATTTATTATCAAGGCAACGTGTGTAGGCTTCCTTGGCGTCCCCCTAATTGTTGGATAACGTCAAGTATTTATGTACAAATCTTACAAAATGAATAACGCCATATCTATTTATTACCTTGTGGTGAAGTCTTGCTGCTAAATCTCCCAAAATTTCCCATTCAGTACCAGTTTTACGATAAGACATTTGATGAGCTTTGTAATGTGCAACTTCTGAGCGCCAAACCGTGTAAACCCTCAAATCCTACAGATTAACTTTAGGTTTTAGCCATAATATTTGATCACAACATGGCCAATACATATGCTTTCAAACAGGACTACCTCGTACAAGACCATGAAAAGATTATCAAGCCACCTCATATATTGAATGATGGAAATGTTAATTTCATTGTTTAATTATATGCATTTAATGATAAGATTATTCAATAACACAAACCTTTCGCAGAGCCTTTTGTTATTGAATGAAAAGGCATAATCTTTTCTTGACGCAGCATCCTGAATTCAATTGCAAAAAGATCTAGTTATAATTTTATATTCACTTAATACAAATTGAGAAATCAAAATTATACCTTATTTTGTTCATCATTATTTTGACTTTGGCTTTCATTTTTATCATCATTAGCAGCTTGTGTTGGCTTTTCCAATTCAGGTCCCTTGAATTCTATTACTGGTGTAGAAGTCTCACCCACACCAGATTGTTCGTCGTCCAAATTAACTTCTTCTAAAGAATCAACTGATTGTTCATCAGCAGGAGCATTATGATTTATATATTTTTTTTGTTCTTGTTCTTCATTATCATCATGATTATCAGTCTCCTCCAAACTCTGCTCAGTCTCCAAACTCTGCTCAGGAACTTCATTAACTGTTTCTAAAGTGGTTTGATTTTCCTGTGAATCTGGTGAAACATTATGCTCCTTATCATTATTGGAGTCACCTGATATTGTGATTGTCGGAATAGATTGAGATGAATCGTTTACACCATTTGTTTTAACTTTAACAACATCAGGCTCTTTATTATCCTCTTTTTCGTGTGGTTTATTGTTAACAGCCAATTTTTGATTTCTCCGTTCTTCTTCAGCAGCTTTTTGCATACGATATTCCTCCTCCATTACGAAGACAGAAGATCGGCATTTTAATAATTCATCCCACCCAATTTTGGCAACCAGACGTGTTAATAAAGAATACGCTTTAGCAAAGGTACCTCGAAGGGATGGTGCCGGAAGGCGTAAAAGACCTACATCAGCCTTTAGCACAATATAACTAAGTTAGGCAGCACTAGAGTAATCGAAAGGCATTACATTCGCAATGAGCTTTTACCTCAGTATCTCGTCCATTATCATCATCCAAGAGTCCAACACTTGAAATCTCCTGTTTAATAGGAAGATGAGTCTTTGCTGGGGTTGGCATCCTATGCATATCTCTGTCGTTATATGTAAACATTGGGCAAGAATTCAGAGTCAACAATGCCTTTAGAAACGACATCGTGGGTCAAGTCACAAATAACATTAGAAAGGAAATTGCGTAATGAGATAAATATTTAATATATCAATCTTCAGCTTTCAAATACATAAAAATTTCTTTACCGATTCGTAATCTTCAAGCTCAATGTACACCTCAGTAAGTTTGGCCCAGGTAACAAACTCGGAAGGAGCGCAATTTACCGCTTGTTTAGCGAGTTTTAGTGCATAAGACTTTTTTCCCTATTTCCCAAAAAAATTGACGAGATCACAAATGCTTTCTTTATGATAGGCATGAAATCATCTCCAAAGATAATTACCTTGGACAACAAAAAATCTGTTTGAACATGTAGAAGCGCGTAACTCATTTGATTCTGTTTTAGGGCCTCGTACAAAATATTGACCGCCTTTATTTCCTCATCTGATAAAAGGCATTTGTTAGATAATTGCCATGGAATTATGATGGGATAGAAATTAAAACATACCCATCCCTATATATGATTGTGCAAGTAACGAAGCAACCTCAGGATCTTTTAAGTACAGTGTATTTATGTTAAAAAGCACCAGCAGTTAACGGATATTATAATCAAAATGTAAAAAAAAAAAAAAAAAAAAAAAAAAAAAATTGATTCGTTGCAACGAAATCATCATAGCACATTAAATCTCTAAAGGATATGTTTTTCGAAAAGGTTCACCGCACGTTCATATCTAAAATTTTCGCTGAAATATTTCATAATACCAGTGGTTAAATGATTGCTAACAACAGTTGCAACTTGAATTTCTGGGTCTGATCCAAGTTGCCAACCTAATATTAATCATATATATTGTAAGTATTGTAAGTTCACACAGTTTATTGAAATGAATTTAGAATAAGAATTTTAATAGGAACCTTTAAAAAAAAGTGATTCAGCAGCTTCTAAGAAATGTGCTTCCGCCTCTATATTTGGGATAGGGTCTAATTTGCGGAATCCAGCAAGCCGATAATTAGCATCGTCTGAATAAAGTATAGAGCGTAGAAGTGCTGAAATGTAGGTTTCTTGCCACATCTCTGGTGTAGCTTCATGTCTAAGATGTAGATTTAATTTATTAAAAGCACAGATTTGGAAACTTTGACTAACGTTCGGATATATCTGATATGTATACTACGAATTACTTTTCATTACGCGCATCTACAATATAACTTTCAACACCACCGGGAATCTTAACTTCAACACGCACGTCCACTCGTGAAAAGGCGTTAAAGCAACTGGAATAATCAAACTTAGCAAACAATGGTACAAATGGATCAACATGAATAACAAATAAGTTGGATTTGTATAAGTGGAACACATACCAATATACCCCAGAACGAATTCTCCAAGCGGAGGATTTAGAAAACCATGCATGGGTTTCTTCCTTAAAAATCAATAATGTAAATCATAGAAATAACGGTCATAATGCACATATGTTTAAATTTGTAATTTAAATTTACCAGTGCGTAGGTCAATGAATTGAGGTATGCAGCTAAGGTAGCTGAAGAAGAAGCATCGACACCGGAAACATAATGATAAGAGCCGACCTAAGGTAGTGAATTAGCCACAAATTAGTGAATTAACCGCATATTTGAATTACAAATACGCGCTCCTGGAAGTTTATTATAGAAATGCAAGTAGGAAAGGTAGATTGTCACGTGCGATTTTTTGATGCAAATCTACGCGGTGGGTAAAAGGATATATTTCTCACCTCTTTTACACCGGGCTTGGCATTAGACTTAGTGATATGGCAAAGGTCAGGAGGACCAAGCTCACGAAATGACGCTGAAAATGTTAAAACCAGAAAAATTCAAAATCCTTAGACTCAGCCACCCAAGATTTAAACCATTAAAATTTACCTAAGTTTTCTGTTCTGGCAGCTATAGACTCATCAAGCTGAGTTTCGAAAAACTCGGGAACATCTTTCAAAGTATCCATTGTTTAATGGATACTAATTACTGGATAATTGTTAACCTTGTAATGAGTCGCCAGGGACCGAGAACTCTACAAAAATTATTTATTATTAAATATATATAACGATAATTATATAGAGGAATTTGTGACAACATCTGTATTACGTTATTTTAAAACCCCTGGCGTGGTACCAAGTAATTGGTGGAAGCAAAATATCGCGCTTGTTTATTATAAAAAAAAAAATATATTGTGAATAATTCTCTGGAAAAAAAAAAAAACTACAGTTAACTCTTACTGCAATGAACCTCTGTAACGAAGTCTGAACATAACGAACTAAAAATTCTTATAAGATTTATAATAAAAAATGTTCTTAGTAAATCAGCAATTTTTATAAGTGCAGATAAATTTCCATCCGGATTTGATTTTCAAATCCAGATTGCCCTCAAAGATAGGATCGTAATCTACTTCTGACCTTCCAAATGTTTGTATTAATGCTTGAATTTGGGCACTAAAACAAAGTAGAATTATATGACAGTGGAGATTCGTCTTCTATCATATTATATTTATGTCGCCCAAGGAGAAATGTAATTCAGGGACTCTCTTCACGACGATCCTATTTTAAATTCATCCGACCCGATGCTAGTTTTTGGACGTCCATTATTTGACACGTATGACCCGTGCCGGAGGCACGGGTTAGCCGTGTAAGGTTAAAAAGTTTTTTAGAAGTTACTTTAATTATATATCGATATCATAAAAAATTAATTGACAAAATCATCCTTCGGGACTATGATTTACATAGTCCCGAGGGTGATCAGGTCCCAATTTATTATTTTAAATAAGTGAAAGGTTTTAAACAAAGAAAATATATTATAGAAAGTTCGTTTTACTAAGGAGATAATGTTTTTTTATACTAATAGCTATAAAATTTGAAATTTTTGAGGTTGATATAAAGAGGTTTATTACAGGATTAGCTGCGCACGAAGTAAAAATGTTTATTAAAGAAATTATAAGTTTGTAAGTAGTTTTTTTAAAAGTACTTTTATATGTTAAAATTGAATTATTGTAAATTTAGGATTTATTCAGGTCGAAATAGAAGCTAAATGTGAGTTGAGTTGAAATAAAATTTTAATTTAAGTTGATTTTAAATTTGGTATCGGTAAAATCGTTAATTTTAATTAATATTTAGTAACTCGATTTATTTTGAATTAAATTGTAATAACGATAACGTATGATCAAAGTGATGCAGTTAAAGTAGATTATAGGCGTTCTCAATCTCCTCGACAATAAGCCAAAATGTGTAGGAAGTGTGTCGGGAATTAAATTTTAATTAGCGAAAAGTATTTTTAACTGATCAAACGTGCTTGCATTAAAAAAATTTCAATAGTGAAAAAATAATCAGTGAGTTTATTATTTCAGTTAATGACTCAAATTAGTATATTTTATATTTTGGTTTTTTAATAAAAATATTTATATATGTGAAGTGTCTTCATGGTTTTCATATACAGATAGTTCTTATTGAGTATAAATTTTGTATGCAATAATTATTAACAGAATTCATGATTGTTATTATGGAACTTTATTATATTGTATTAATTGCAAAAAATTCATTAAATAATATACAAGTTTATCACATAGATTTCTAAAATACAAATCAATTTTAGAATCCAATATAACATAGCATAATCAGAAAGATTTAAAGCAATATTTGTTTTGTCAAAGTCATTTATTTCTCAAAAATATATATAGAAAACTATGTTTAGTATTTTAACATTAATTTTTCTAAAGGAATTGCTATTTTGTTAACTCTAACTTTAATACAAATGTTAATCTTAATAATAATGAATCTTAAAGTATATTTGTCTATATTATAGTATAAAGCTAAATATGATAAAACAGGAGGTTTTCTCTTTATTTACTTGGTTATTATTGAAAACTATTTTTTCAAATTCATTTCAAAAGATCTTTATTTCCAACAGAGTATATCCAGATTAATATAAGATATAGCTTTATATATTATTGTATTTCTTATTTATTATATTACAATATAAGCTTTTTTATTATATAGTAAAAGCATATTGGCTGATTTGTAAAATTAGCAATAACTTCTGATTTACTAAACTGTTTTTGATAATTTTACTATCAAAATATTCATATTAATAAAACAATTCTAACAAATTCAAAATTGTTAAAATCTGATCACAGAATCCTAAAATTATTAAACTTTTATATAATTTTACTAATAATTTTTAAGTTATTATATAAGATCATACAAATTTAATTAATTGTTTTTCATAACCTAGCCAAGTCAAGTTTTGTAAATTTTAAAAAAAATATATATTGTTACAAGTGGACTGTAGCCTTCTTAATACAGCACAAGTAACAAAGCACACAGCTATAGAGCTCTGTTGTGAGATTATAGCGGTGTGGAAGTGGAATGTTACTTCACTAAGGGCAGTTCGTGGAAAGTATATAGTTAAAGAAA